TACTGTGCTCTACCTTATTGTCAATCTCTTAATATATATGATATAAATACTATCTTGGATTATTACCAGTACTATCTGTATTATATTCCTCAATTGTTGATTTAATACCACTTTCTCCTGCTTGCGAAAGTTAAAGGGTTTGTGTTTCTGATTGAATCAATATGTACTTTTATTCTACAATTTATCATAAGTTCATATGTCATATATTTTATGCTATAAACAGCTTAGTCCATGTCACAAATCAAACTAACTTTTATTTTATTTAGGACGGTCAGGAACTATGTATGCAAAATTCAATGTGCAAACTGGAATGAGGATCAAATCTGTCTTGCCACCTCTGCAGTTGAGAAGAACTGTCGATACGAAAGCTTCAAATGCCTACAGGGATTAAATCGCCGAGTCAATGGTAGGCTAAAAAATTTATCTTTTTGTGGTGAACGTTGGTCAAAGTCAATGCCTAACGAGGATGGATGACTTGTTCACAATGCAAACAATGGTGTCACGAAGAACGCTGTACTGTTACCGCAGCCAATGTGACCTGTGTGTGTGTGTGACATTGAACTTAAAAATAATTTGAAACATGTATTTTATAATTAGTTCTAAAGCTCTATTAAAATAAGTATAATTATATTGACTTTATTTTTAATTTTTAGCCCTGTCTCATTTTGCCTCACTGTGCCGGGGCAAGATGAGACAATTACCACTGCTAGGTTTTCCTCGATTTATCGCAAATAAATTATTTCAAACATTTTTTTTTGCTTTACATATCTTGCTGTGAGTCAACCTCACATACCCAAGTCAAAATGAAAATTCAAATTGCTATGCCTTCCATTCTACAACAGTAAATGTCCTTAGGTGTCTCATTTTGCCCTGCATTACCCTACATGCATGAAAGACCATGCAAGGCAGGCGCTTAAATTTTTATTAAATAGCCCACTTTTTTATGTTTTTCATGCATGGGTTCAAAACAAAGTTGATTATTTCTCGGTTAGAGCAGGATGCATATTATTCCTTAATGAAGGAAATAATATTGCTTTTTGCAAATACACATCACAGTATCAACGCTTCTATTTTGTTACGTTTTGTTCCAAAAATGTTGGATGTCTCTGGGGAGTTGCTTGTTATGTCTTTACTTATGGAGTTGTATGGTTTGATCGTGTTTGATTCTCAGTTTATTCTGAACTTGCCAAGATTAACAAAGGCAAAAGAGTTTGGGTGTTTTAACAAGATTTCAGAACGTTGCAGAAGTTAGAAAATTCATTCAATGTGAAGTTAGAAAATTCACAATTCCATTGCCATGACAGCATGCCCTAATTCAAAACTATACGAACGATCCATGACGATCCTTCGCGATGCAGTGGTCTCATGAAATAAGGAAAAGTATTCGTGCTAGGAACACACGCGGATTTCGGACAAATAAATCTTGCTTGTATTTTGTAGATAATAATACTTTGTTTCATAATAAACAATTTGTCAAGTGTCTCTTAATTACTGGTAATAGTGCATATTTCAATCGGGAAAATCTTGATTATTATTTGATACGTCGTTTTTTGCATATTTCAGATACATCCAGAAATATGCTCCCGATTTTAAACATTAATATCTCCGTGAATTTTTAAGTGAAATACAACTGTAATATATCGAAATCTAAGTTAGTCCTTCTTCTATTTGTTGCAAGTTATTTCTCTTTAAAATCTGTACCTGTTTAGAAGTTATTACGAATCAAACCGGAGTACTTTTTTTTGGGACACCCGGTATAATATTTAGTTTAAATATGCTCTAAGATATAGATCTGACTTAGTTCAATATAAATAAACACAAGTATAAAACCTCGCGTAACCTGTTTACGCTGTACAGGAATATACGGATTCGCTTGTTTCGCCGGACACCAACACTTGCCGTTCAGGAGCAATGCTTGCCTACAAATTTTATCCCCTTCACAATCTTTGTTTTATTTTATCGTATAGTCGCAATTTTCAAGTAATCGGGGTATTCTGAAACTGTAAAACTGGGTGGCGTGCGAATCTTGTAGAGACTACATCGGCCTAGGCGTAGAGCTATTATAAAGTAAACAGGGCCTAAATTAATTTAGTAGTTTCATTTAATTGTTTGTCATGCTTTTATTTGTCAGTACAGAATATTGTAAATTAAAATATTACTACAAAGCGATACGCGTAGTATTTCATTAGACAGCTGCACAAAAATACTGTACAAGGAAAACTACAGCTTAAGTAATAGTAGACGTTTCTTGTTTTGTCAGGAAACATCACAGCTCACTTCGACACGGCTTTTGAGATTTGTAACCGGCCGAGGCGAAAGTAAATCATGCAGTCGCGAAAACGTCTTACTTTGAAAGATTATTTTGCAAAACATACTCGTACACACAAGAATTATAAAAATAGGTACGCGACCGCGTACATGTATCTGCGCATTAAAGGTCCAGACACGCTGGACGCGATTCGACAACGCGACGCGATTTTTCGATTTTCACTGACCGTTAAATTTAATCCAAGTTTAAATTTTCCAAATATTTAGAAGCGCTATAACATTCTAAGTTACTTGGTCTACATATGTTTGTAACTGATTTGCTCTCATTGGCTGTTTTTCAAACTAATTATACTGAAAAATCGCGTCGCGTTGTCGAAGCGCGTCCGGTGTGTCTGAATCTTAAGGTCTGATTCCACGACGGCGAAATTCGTCACGAGAGCTTGTGTCTGCGAAATACGGTGGTTGCACATGAGCGATTGCATTGAATTGTCCCACTTTGTCCGCTTTCGCAGTAAGTAGAAATGTTTCGCATTCATTGATGGTGCATTCTCGAAATGACATTTTTACAGCAATTGTGCGAAATTGTGCTAGTTGAAATTATATGCCTGCTTCAGATATAATATTTACATTTAACTAGTGACTTCTAAATTAAGAGGACGAGAACCATTTATATCCCGAATCACGGCAACTGATAACAATCATACAAAAATGTTTCTTTTTATCTGGAGCTAAATATCTGCTATTCATACAGTTCATTACTTTTAAGAACAATTTAAAGAAAATAATTAATTAAGGCTGTAAAATGTGTGGATTTATTAAAGACGTGGGATTAGACGTCTGTACATGGAGTCATGAGCTAATAATAGTTTCTGACATTTAAAACAACAGAGCTACGTTTATCCTATGCTTTGTTTTCATAGTTTAGCCTAGTTTCAGAGGCCTCCATTAAATAACAATCAAGATATATACGCAAATATAATTTGCGTGTCTATTTAAAGGGGAAGTCAAGTCCGTTCTGCGCATCTGTTCTGCGCATAACAATGAGAGGACCTCTAATGTGAAAATTGCCCAAATTTCGAATGTTTCGAATTTTTCTGAACATAAACTTTATTTCATATTCATTTAGAAGCATAGCGAACCAAAATGGTGTTAGATATTCAGACAGTACATCATATTTAAAAAAATGCAGCAGTTCAAAATGTAAACAAACCGTTTGTTTACATTACGGACTTGACTTCCCCTTTAAAATTTGTAATTGTTTCGTGAAGATTCAACCATAAAACAATTGCCGGAAATGCAGGTCCTGTTTATAAAAACTCAGGGAAAACCCGTGCGGTATGAAATGCATGGCGTAAACATGTCAATCAAATATCTATAAATATGACGTTTTATAATTGCACAGTACATCGTGTACGTTCTTGTTGTAGAACTTGTGTTGCTCCAAATCGAGTATGAAGTAAAATCAGGAGCATACTGTCACAGGCTAATTTTGTATTTTAATACCTCTGGAAATATCAAGGCTTTGGTCCCCTATCTATCACAAAACTGAGTAACAAATCCAAAACGAAGTATGAGGACTAATATTTTTATATATATCATTTCACAGATTAAAAGTATTATTCAAGAAATATGTCCATTTTGATCTTAACGTGATACAAAAATACTAAATAACATGCAAAATTCAGTGCCAAAGAGGGATTTATTTTGCGGTAGTTAAATATGTAAACATATGTTCTCAAACTGGCAGAGTTTAATACCAATTAAAGCTGGCAATGCTATATATTTGGTTTGATACGAAGATAAAATAGTAAATACTCATAATAATTACAATATGTCCATGACCTTACTCAAAAATTTAGATTATTAAATCACATAATGGAACAACTTGCAATTTCCTACGCTCACTCGTTAGCAATAGTTCTCTTCAACACTCGAAATAAATTACATATTTCCGCACAACCATGTATAAATATCCTCTATACATTCCAGTTTACCTTTAATTTGTCAAGTGGTAGGCACAATATTAGTCCTTTTGATTTGTTATTCCCTTTCCCCAACACAGGAGTGATAGGAGCTTGAAAAAATGACAGTTGAATACTTGCGTGTAATTTGCTCGGAGCAATTTGCAATCAACATTGCAAGATTGATTGCAATGTTGCAATACTCATGGGAACAGAACATCCGGTTTGACTGTAAGAGTTATATCAAAAAGACTGCTATAGAAGAAGATTTTATCAAAATAAAGTCAGGATAAAGTCTATTAATAGTTTAATACCACGATTACTAATGATTACTACTCTTGAAAGCTTTTCGAAAGACGCCATCTTGTTTTAAAGCTGTTCTAGCCTGCGAACAGGCCTTCAAAACAAGGTTGACGGACTTAACAACTTAACTTAACTTACTTAACTTTACTTTACTTTACTTTACTTTACTTTACTGACTGACGCGATAGCAATATATCTGCGCTACGCGCAGATACAAAAATACAAATGTTGATTGTTATTGTCAACTGTCAAGTTCAGTTATTTTTAGACAATATGGTGTTAGCCAATCAGAATGCAAACTAATTGACCGGCCCAGACCAGGGCTTCCTCGTGTCTCGCCTCGTCCTCACACTGAAGCCCTGGGAACGAGGTTGGACAATGTATTATTACATCAGGTATCTTGATGTGGTTAAATACATTTAAGTAAGGTTAACGGCGGATGTATTATGCAGGCCACATCCGCTGAGGGGAGTCTGTGAAGTCATATCGATCAAAGGGGTTGTTTCGCGCGTTGTGATCAGTGCTTCGGTCTGGGTATTCATTCTGCCATTGCATGCTTTGCCTAACTGCAGCAAGTTTAGCGCTTAGATCCCTTTTCCCTATCCACCAACCCACCCACCCACCCATGTTTATTCTAGAGGATTTTATCTGGTAGTGTGTCATTTTATTTTATATAATTTTTAATCTCACATAAAATAGAATGTATAGACCACTATACATTGTATTTCGTTTCCACTGACTTGTCAGTGTGACTGGTGCCAGAGGTATGCCTTGTCTGAATTGTCATGGCTATCTCCTTTTGCTGCTAACATTACTGATTGTTACTCTCATTGTTGCTGCGCAGCTGCTATGGCAATACTTCGTGCCATCGAGTCTATAGTTGCAGCCTTGGACCACAAACGGCACCTGCCTCCAAACACTAATACTCTGCCGCTAAACATGGTTACAATCGCCCAGACCAAATGGAAACCTGATTTTAGTGTTATATATGAAAATACCCCTCTTTCAATTCTAATTTTCTGCTAATATATATTTTTGGTCGACGTTAATATCTTGTCAGTTCCATATTCGTATTTCATGATTAACACTATAACGCCTGGGCATCCCCATTTGACAAGTAAAAATGAAAATGGGGGGGGGTCAAAGAAAAATATTCT